AATAACAATTTTTTAAAATTTATTTATTTATTTTTAATGTCAATGAACATCTACAGAGATTTTGAAATTCCATTCATTCACTGTTGCACTTTTCTCCCCGCCCATCCCCCCAAAAATTAATAACAATTTTTACTAAAGTAGTTTGAAAAATTAGTTTACCAGAAATCACTCTACTACTAAATATGCATCCTCCCAAAATTAGTTGTGACACAAATATGTGCACACTTACATTAATTACACTTAAAAAAGCAAAGAGATTGAAACAATGCAAATGTCCACACTAGATGAAGTGGTAAAGAAACCATAGCCCATTCAAACAAGAGAATATTATGCAACACCAAACAAATCTGTGAAACACTGCACAACATGAATGAAGTTAGAAGAAATTAGCCTGAGTGACTAAGTCAGTCATGGAAAGACAATTATAAGACTACTATTTTTAAAAAAGTTAAAGTTTACACAAAGATAGAATCAGTTTACCACAGATAGGAATGGAGTAAAAATACAGAGATATGTTAGTTGAAGGGAAAGGCAATATACAATGTTTTCTTGCTCAGGCATTTTCACAAATAAATGACATTAATCAATTTTAATTAATTCTATAAAACAAAATGCACAGGAATGAATTAAAACACTAATGATTTATAAACTTTCATATAAAAAATGTAAAAAATACAGCATAGGAGCATAAGAAAGTATTTTGCTATGTAATAATTTAAACAACACTAAAGTGTTGACTAGGATGAAATAAAAAAAAAAAGTAAAATGAAGGTAACTGCTTTATAGATAAAAATTCTGATCTTTTTCTTCCCTGGGTGTTGAGTACAAAAGTATAAATGGCCTCAGTCTCTTGAAATTAAAGTTTTCCATGTGCTTCTAAAAAGATAACTATTTCTACAGAAATCTTTTATGACCAATAGGGAAAGTATAATTATCTCTAATTCAAGACTAAAAAAAAAAAATAAAAACTACAGTTTAAAGAGATTAACTATCTCAAATTTATATTTCCAAAGTGAAGGGGAAAATCAAGAAAATTCAACTTCTTGTAAACACTCCCTAAGTTTAAGCACATATGCCAGTGCTTGGACAACAGCTTTGGTATAGAGTAATTGGTGATATACAGTTTGACATTTTTCCTCTAGAAAGCATTTTATTCACACTTATTCTGTTAATTCAAGAGTTAGCTCAATAGAAGATTAGATGTAACCAACAATTAAGTGATTATTATGAATATACTATAACAAAATCATCCATTTTATTAGAGAAAAAAAAAGGATAAATTAAGCAGCTTAGATGAGTCAAGGGGTAAGAGTATATGTGAGGTAGGAAGGGGATTACTACCATATTTGTAACATCTAACCCTTAATTTTTTTTTATTAATTCTACTTGAAAAATCCAACTTAGACTTTGCTTCTTACTAGTTAAAAGATTCATACATTTTATACTACGTGGGACAAAAAATTATCATTAGTGACTGAATTGAGTTCTACAGATATAGAGGAAAAAGGATTTAATTAAGAAATTAAGTAATTTTCAAAATTGATACCAAAATTATTTTTGTACTGTCACATGCTAAGAATAGCTGTATCTCAGATTAAGTTGCTATTTTATGCCAGGATATATAAATATAAATATGTCATTTCAACAATTTGCTTGAGTCATTCATATTACTATATTTATACTTCACAAAACCACTTTGCAAAAAAAAAAAAATCACTCAACTGTTGATAAATTCATAAATGACATTTTTAATACACACCTGCCAACGGAACATACTGCTTTACATGTGTAATAAGGCTGTTTGCTGGCGTTTTCAAGGTCATAAAGTACAATCACACCATCTGAACCACCTGATAACATACTGATAATGAAAGAGTTCACATTAATATATCATTTCATGTAGTCTATTTATGATGACTGTGTATTTCTAAAGAATCTTATTCTGTAAACATGCATTTACAGTTAAGTCTACACACACAGAATTAATCCTTATTAATGGACTTTAATAAACTAGAATGTCCTAACTGTAAGAAAAATGGATGTAGCACAACTGAATAAGTGGTTATTTCAAGGTTACTGTTTTTATTCTTAAAAAAAAAAGTTGAAATAAGACAGCAGAAAATATTTCTTAAAGTAAAACATTAAAAAGTTTATTTACTTATAATTGTGATAAATGAAAACAATCATATAGACTAGCTCTTACTATGACCAAGGGAACTCTGGTGGCCTACTGGTAAGTAGTTGTGCTGCCAATCCTGGGACATGCAGTTTGAATCCAGTAGGTGCCCCAAGGAAGAATGATTCACAACCTCTGAAAATCCACTGGAGGGTCAGCTATGACTTTGTTCTGATTTAAGGGCACGTAACAGCAGCAATTACTGTGATCAACTATTCACCTGAGCTTTCATCAACTGTCAAATTACATTTTTTACTAATCCATAAAGTTAATGTGAAGGTAAAAATTATTTGAAAAGTGTCTTTTATAATGCTCACTAAAAAAGAGAAGAAGCTTTGGAGAGAGCTGCGCTGCTAAGCTAGAAGGTTCACCTCTCAATTCAATTCTACCAGCAGCTCCACAGGAAATAAATGAGCAGCCTTCTCCCTAGCAATTTACAGCCTTGGAAACTCAATTTACAGATGGTCAGCTGTAAAGTTGTTTCTGACTCAATGGCAATCAGTTCTTGTTGTTGGGTTTTTTTTCATTTGAGTAAAAAAGGAGAAGACAGGTTAAGTGTTAGATTCCTTTCCTTTTCATTCACACAACCTTAATTGAGCCCCTCAAATAAGTTATTATGCCTTCCACTGGTTTTCTGAGATTACCTCCATTTTCTTCCTCAGAATGGCTGGAGGAATCTAACTGCAGATGTTAACAACCAAACACATAACCCACTAAGCTCCCCTGGAAGAAGCGTAGCCAGAGTGTTCCTTAGCAATAAGGATGGTGAGCCTCTGTCTCACATGCTTGGGCATGTTACCTCGAGGGGCCAGACAAAGGCATCATGCTTGGAAAAGTAGAAAGGGAAGATCTTCAATATGAGGGATTGACACAGTAACTCTGTCAATGGATTTAAGGCACAGCAGAAATTGTGAGGAGGATGACATAGGATCAAGCAAGGTTTTGCTCTGTTGTACACAAAACTGGTTAGTAAGAGTTGGAGCTGAGACAACAGCACCTGAAAATGATAGCCTGTTCCATGTTATGTTAAAAGGTGTGGCTGCAACTGCAACAGGACTCGCAAGACCCTATATTTACATTTACAGAGCTTATGATCTACAAAGGAAATAGAAATATTATATATCACTGGACACTGTTTCAATTGTGATCATTGTTAGAATAGCTTTTTATTGTAGTTTGGGGATACAGAGTTTTCTAGTTTGTAGTATTTAATTAAACTAGCATCTGGAGGAAGAGCAGGGGTTAGACAGGTGGGGCAGTGGTACAAAATATGAAGATCGCAGGCACATGTTACTAGTTGTCTGCTCTCAGTCAGCTACAGTTTGGATTTTGTGACAATTCTTGAACTGATTTTGTTAGTGGTGTTATACACTGGTTTTTTTCTTTTCTATCTTTAAGTTTCCTTAAGTGTTGTCAGAGGGGATTTGAAGAAAACAAGTGCAGCCAGAGTGCTCCTGAGAGGCAAGGATGGCAAAGTTTCACCTCTCATATTTTGGGCATGTGGCTAAGAGAGGCTATTCCTTGAAAAGGGACATCATGCTTGGAAGAGTGGAGCGTCAGTGAGAGAGGAAGACCTCCAAGGAGATGGACTGACACAGTGACCGCAGCAATCAGAGATGATGAGGATGACACAGGATAGGACAGGATTCAGGTCTGTTGTTCACCGGGTCACTATGAACAACTCGATGGTACCTAACACCCCCTCCTCCACCAGGCAGTCACTATCATCTTCCTAGAAGGGACCGACTTTCAAATTGTTATGGTTAGATGCCAAAGAGTTGGATGAGACTTACTGCAACCCTATGGACAACAGACTGAAAGCTGCCGTATCCTACTCTAGCCTCACTGTCTTTGCTGTGCTTGAGCACACTGCTATCTAATATTTCTCTGTTAATCCATCTCGTTGCAGATTGTCTTCATCTTCACTGACCCTTGATATATTCTGATTAATATTTCCATTAGATTTTGAAAAAAAATACAATAAATGGCATGCTCCTCAAAATGCCTGCTGTGACAAGATAAGGACTTTGTGTCAGAAATAAACTGGCTTCCTTTCTCACTAAGAAAGTCTTACGAGAAAAACAAACCAAACCAAACCAAACCCCAAAACTCTGCTAATCTAAACTGCCTGCACAGTGATGTAATAAACCTATGTTCTGGTTTAGATTCCTTATCTTTCTGTGAATAAGATACAAACAATTCCTGAGTAAGACTCATTTATACCTCTTTTATTTCTTTTTAAAAATTAACACCAACTTGTACAGCAAATTTTTCAGTTACTTGTCTTTTTTTTATTATGCAATTTTGAAAGCAATTTGTTAACTTAGTTCTACAGGTTGTTTGGATACAGTGATATATATATATATATATACCAAAACCAATTATGAAAACATTTTTGCTTCATATTTTAAAGTGATAGAACATTGCTTCTTAGCACAGTATGGTGGACATGGACCTCATCTGATAGAACACACAGGAATCAAATCAACTGACTAAATATGTGGAAAGAGATGGCGAAGAAGGGCAATATCGTTAATCAGAACAAAGCACGGAGCTGACTGGAAGTACAAATTGATGCTGAAGAAAATGAGAACAATTCCATCAGAACCAAAACATGAATCTGTTTATATTTCAACTGAATTTAGAGACTCTCTCAAGAGGAGATTTAAACGCTAATGACCAAAGATGAGAAGTTGTAGGATAACAGCATGGACATCATCCACGAAGACAGCAAAGTAACATCAAAAGAACAAAAGACCAAAATGGACGTCAGAATAGACTCTGCAACTTGTTCATAAACAAAGAGAAACTAAAATGAAAGAAAGAAATGATGAAATAAGAGAATTAAAGAGAATATTTAAAAGGGTAGCTTGAGAAGACAAAACAATGAAATGTAAGTCAGAAAACAAAAGCAAAGACTACGCTTCACATTTTATAAGCTGAAGGAACTAAGGGAAAAAAAAATTCAAGCTTCTAGGATGGCCTAGTGGTAAGAAGCTATGCTGCATTCTCAAAGGCATGTGGTTTAAATCTACCAGCAGCTCTGTGAGAAAAAGATGGGCAGTCTCTTCCCATTTGATTAATTGCCTCTGAAAACCCACTGAAGGGTCAGCTATGAGTCGGTTCCAACTTGACAGCACACAACAATAACAGGAGCAATACTGAAGGATTTCATGGGAAAATATTGAGTAACTCAGCATATATCAAAAGAAGTTGGAAGGAATATGCAGTGTCACTATATCGAAAAGAATTGGTTGATAGCGAACCATTTCAGGAAGCAGCATATGCTCAAAAACCAATGGTACTGAAGGAAGAAGTTCAAGCCAGAAGAGTGACATGGGATATGGGGGCAGTGAATGAATTATTTTATATCCTTATGTCTATAGTGTATTTCTTGTAAAGAGCAAAAAAAAATCAATCATGTGGAGTAGCTAGATACATGTAAACAGAAATATATGGGCAATACCATATGCTGTTCTCAGTTGCAGTCAAGTCACTTGCAACTCATAGCGACACTATGGACAATAGTTCTGAACCCTGCACTATCTTGGGCCCACTTAATTGTTTCTGACACACCTACCCTCATTACCCCAGTTACTGAATAAATTCATCTCATTGAGAGTCTTCCTCTCTTGCATGGTTTCTCCACTATTCCAAGCATGCTGTCCTTCTCCAAGCACTGGTCCCTTCTTGCAACATGTCCAAAGTATGTCAGACAAAGCTTTAGAATCCTTGCTTCCAAGGAGCAGACTGGTTTCACCCTCTCTTCACTAAAAAGACAAATATGTTTACTCCACAAACATAACCAAACTTTCAAGATTGGTTTTCTGAGTTTGAAAGACTGAGATTATAGTCTCATGGAACAACTCAATTAGCATTCGCATTCAATTAAGACAATTCACAAAAATCATTATCTCCTAAAGAAGTTTTTTGTTATGCACTGCCAAGTTGGGACTGACCCATAGGTGACTCTCCAGTGGTTTTTAAGAGGCAGTAATTGTATAGTAGCTAACTGCCCATCTTTCTCCCACAAAGGAGGGTGGATTTGGGTTAATAACTCCTTACCAATGAGTCACCATAGCTCAAAGAAGTTTGAGCAGCCTCTGGTATTTTAAAAAGCTTCTGAGTGGCCATTTAAGACACAAATACCACTCTTCATTTGACAGAAGGAAAACACTAAGAAGACAACAAAAACTCAGATGATGTAAGCCACAGCCCCATCTACCCTGAAACCATAAGAACTAGATTGTGCCTTGCTACCATTAATATGACTTATAATAACTCTATGACCAATAGATCTGAATCATGTCCTATGGTAGTACAGATTACAAGAAAAATGTGGAGAACTCTCCAAACTCAAAAACCAAGTCAAGCCAAGCAAAATACCTAACAAACTTCAACACCAGAGAACAGTCTCCCTGAGACTATCACTTTGACACATTCTTTATACTTGGAACTGAGACCATGCTAATATCGATATTTAGAAACAGCAAAGTGGCATACAAAGGAAACAATATTACCTGTAAGATTGGTGGTTTACTTAAAAACAACCTGTACAAGAGCAATAGCAAAGATAAGAAGCTAAGAATGCAGGGAAACCACAGCACAAGTATACACGATATGATGTCCGAACAATATCCAACTGCATCCACAGGGCAGGGAGGAGAGACTTGGGCAAGCATCTGCAGTGCCATGGTAGCAAGTCTGCCAACCCTGAGGCCTTGGGTCCTAACTGGGAGCCAAAGCAGCTCGCTCAGAGTGGACACACAACAATACTGGGAGCACTAGATCTGCATCTTGCCCTATTTAATCCTCTGCCATCCTCACCATCTGTGATATGTTCAAGTCCACTACTCAAGACACTGTCAATCCATCTCATTACGAGTCTTTCTTCCTCTCTTTCTCTGACTCTCTACATTTCTCATGATGATGTCTTTTTCCATGGGCTGGTCGCTCTGGACAGTATGCCCAAACCATGTGTATGGAATAATAGAAATGGAACAAAGAAAAGTAATACCAATGAATGACGTGTGGAAATTCTCATATGGGAATCAAGCTTCCTGTGTAAACATTCACCAAAAACTCAGTGAAATATTACTTAAGTAAAATTTAAAAAAAAAAAAGAAAGAAAAAAGGTACATCTAAAGTCTCACTTGAGCACTTAGAACAGTGTAGCCAAAAGATGTCCAAGGCTCTTTGATTTAATAAGTATCTTCATTATAAAGTATGTTGAAAATGTCTTTATTTGGCAAGATTTTGTACATTTTGCTTTAAATTAAAAACCGTACACTAAAATAGCTGTAATTCAGAATTTTAGTAAAATATATGATGCTTCTACCTAGTCAATCTGAAAAAGCAAAATTTTACTGCATTTCATTTAGAAAAAAATGATTCTAAAAAGATACTTACTATCTCCCCTCAATGGGCTCAATGTCAAGGCTATTAACTCCACTGTCATGGATCCGCTCAACATCTCTGTCTTTGTTTAATTCCAGTCCCAAAACTCTTTAGCAAAAAGAAAAATTGAGACAAAACTTAGTAAGAAAATGACTTGACATAAAAGAATTTTCTATTTCATTAAAATAATAAATAATACAAAAATGACAGTAATGTTAAAGTCATCTTCTACCACACATCTTAAGGCATTTAGATTTAATTACATTTTTAAAAACCTTGTTGTACATTTTAAAAATCTTGTACACATTTCAAACCTATCAATGGTTTGACTGACTCAATGACTGGGGTAATGAGGGTAGGTCTGTCAGAGACAATAAGGTTGGCTATAAGGTTGACAATGAGGAAAGAGCAGGGTTCAGGGGAACTACAAGTCGCAGGTAACTGATGGCACATAACAACAAAAGCAACAACACAACTCAATGTAAATTAAGTTCCTAAAAACCTTCCTAAGCTTTACTTAAAATGTAGCTTACTTAATTTTCTATTAAGACATTTAGAGACTGAGAAACAAATTTACATAAACAGAAAGTTAACGTCTTAAAATGTACCAATTATCTTGTTAAAAATACTTATCTGATGACATCTAGTGGACAAAAGCTTATATTACAGATTTTTATTTTTTTAAAAGTTGCTTAACACCTAAAATACAAAATCAATGTTTAAATAAAAAAGACTGCTAGCAGTGTAGTCCACAGCAGTTGTGCTGCTAATCAAAAGGCTATTCTATTACTCTCTGGTGGTTCAAATCCACTGTGGCTCTGCGGGAGAAAGATGGACATTTCCTCTAGTGCTTACAGCCTTTGAAAAACTGTAGCTATGTGTATTTACAATTAAACAGCAAAGATTTTGTTATTGAAGTCAATAATTAAGTACACTGAAATAAAACATTTATAAAGGTATGATTAACACATCATCTCATAATCTAATACCTGAATACAATTTCTGATATTGCATAGTTATAAACTATCATTATTATGGCCAGGCTATTACTAAGAATAAATGAGTTAATATAATTTTTAAAAATACTCATTACAACACCTTGTACAGAGCAATGTATTAGTGAATGCTATCATTAAAACTTACCTAAGGCTGCTGATGATATTATGTGCCATCAAGTTGACTATGACTCCTAGCAGCCCTAAGCACAAGAGCTCTGAACCCTTCTCTATCCAGGGCCAATCTTACACTTTCTGGCAACATGCCCTACATATATGAGACAGAATTTCAAAATCCTTGCCTCCAAAGAACAGCATGGCTTCACCCTCTCTAGGACAGAACTGTTAGCTCTCTTGGCAGTCCATGCTATGTTCAATACTCTTCTGTAGCACCATAACTCAAAGACATCAATTCTTATTAGGTCCTCTCTTGTCAATTGTACATCTCTTTAATGTATAAAATGTAATTGCAAAGACCATGGCCTGGATCAGGAGCACCTTTTTCTAAACTGATATTGTTGCTCTTTAGCACCCTGGAGAAGGTCCTGACAGCAGATTTTCCTAATACATTTGTCTTTTGATTTCCTGACTACTGGTGCCAAGAGAGTTGACTGTGGAATCAAGCAAGGTACAATTGTTAACAGTCTCAATTTAATAATGAAGCTGTCAATTGTTCCAGTGCTGAGAATTTTTATTTTCTTGATATTGCGCTTCAATCTATATTGCAGACTACAGTACTTGACCTTCTGCAGTAAATGCTTCTAAGGCCCTCCTCAGTTTCAGCAAGCAAGGTTATGTCATCTGCATAAGGCAGGCTGTTGATGAATCTTCTTTCAATTCTGATGCTACATTCCTCTTCAAAAAGTCCAGCTTCCCGAATGTTCTGTTCTGCATTGAAAAGTTATGGAGACATCCTTGACATACTTTCCTGATTCTGAAAACTTTCCTTTGTCTGTTCTGATGACTGCCTCCTGCTTCAAGTATAGGATTCCCATGAGCACAATCAGGTGTTCCGGGATTCTCATTCTCCTCAAAGTTAGCCACAATCCATTGTGATCCACACAAAAGCCTTTGCATAGTCCATGAAATACAGATAAGACTTTCCTCTGGTACTTTCCTTGGTTTTCAGCCAAGATCCATCCGACATTTGTGATGATATCTCTAGTTCCTATGGACTCAGCTTGTATTTCTGGTAGTTCTGGGTCAATGTACTATCCAGTTGTTTTTGGATGATATTGAGCAGGATTTTGCTTGTGTTGGTATTAGCGATATTCTTCAATAATTTCTAAACTTGGTCGATCATCCTTTTTTTTGAAATCGAAACAAATATGGACCTTCTCCAGTCAATTGGCCAGGTGGCTGGTTATCCTGGAACACCAGGATATTATTTATTATTTCTTGGCACAATCTGGTGAGCATATCCAGGGCTATATTTGTTTGTTGAAATATGTCAATTGGTATTCCATCAAATGCTGGGGCCTTGTTTTTTACTAGTTCTTTCAGAGCAGCATGAACTTCCTCCTTCATCACCATTGACTCTTGATTGTATATTGTTTAATTAAATTTTTCTGTGTCAGCCAATTTTTTTTTGTACAAGGACTCTGTGTACTGCCTTCTGTCTTCTTCTGATGCTTCCCCAGTTATTCAATATTCTGCCCATAACATCCTTAAGTATTGCAACTTAAGGCCTAAAGTTGTCCATCAGTTTCTTCAGCTTAAGAAATCCCTACGTAGTTTGGCCTTTTTGATTTTCTGACTTCAGCTCTTTGCACATTTCATTATACTTTGCTTTGTCTTCCTGTGCTGCCCTTCGAAACTTTCTATTCAGCTCCTTACCTTCCTGGTTTCTTTCCTGTGCTTTGGCTTCTTGTCACTCTAGCGCAATATTCTGCGTCTCTTCTGACATCCATCTCGGTCTTGTCTTCCTCTTTAGTCTCTGTAATGACCTTTTTGCATTCTTCATGGATAAATATTCTTGATACTCTCCCACAGATCATCTGGCCTTCGTTCATTAGTGTTCAAGGACTCAAACCTGTTCCTGAGCTGGTTTTTTAATAAACGTGTGACAGAATCAAGGTCAAATTTTGACTTGTGTGGAATTGATGTTTCTTCAGCTTCAGTTTGAACTTGCATAGAAGTAGCTCATTACTTGTTCCACAATCAGCACCTGGCCGAGTTTTCACAGCTGATAATGAGTCTTTTCACAGATATAGTCACTCTGATCCTCGTGCAGACAATCAGGTGAGGTCCATGTGTATCACTGTCATTTATGGTTTTTTTAATAAAGTGTATTGGCAAAGAATAAATCATCGACTGTGCAAAATTCCACCACTTTATCTCTAGCCTCCCTTCTGTCACCAGGCTCACATTTTCCAACTACTGATCCTTCTTTTCTATTCCCTACGTTTGCATTTAAGTCACCCATTACTATCAGTGCATCTTGGTTGCATGTTCAATCGACTTCTGACTGCAAAAGTTGGTAGAAATAATTTATTTCCTCTTCTTTGGATTTGGTGGTTGTTGGTGCATATATTTGAAAGATAGTATCCAATGGACTTCCTTGTATATATATGGATATTATCCCGTCACTCACAACACTGCATTTCCAAATGGATCTGGAAATGATCTTTTTAACTATGAATGCGACCTCATCACCTTTTCATTTCTGGACTAGTAGATTATATGACTGTGATTCAAAATGTTCCATGCCAGTCCAACTCCTCTTGCCAATGCACAGAATGTCAATATTCATGCATTCATTTATCTTTTAATGTTCAATTTTGCTACATTCATGCTTCTCACACTCCATGTTCCAATCACTAGGGTCTGCTTGCAACTATTCCTCCTCCTCCTCTGTGTTTGTCAACTTGAGGACCTGAATATTGTGCATGGGGTTTTCAAAGGACTATTATTTCAGGAGTAGATAGCCAATCCTTCTCCCTAGTCTGCCTTAATTTAGATGCTCAGCTTTAGAGCCACATCTGGCAAATAAGCATGTTAGAACAATTTAACTGAAAGAAAAATAAAGAGAAAATGGGTAGCATACAAGGGAGCTTTGATGGCATATTGGTAAGGCATTGTCCTGCCAATGCAAAGGTATGCAGTTTGAATTTACCAGGTGCTCTGCAGGAGAAAGATAGGCAATTTCTTCACATTCAGTATATTGCCCCTGAAAAATCCACTGGATGGTCAGTGATGGGTCGGTTCTGACTCAGTGGTACTCAACATTAACAACATGGTTAAAGAGAAAGGAGAAAACTACTAGCTGAAAGGCTGGCAGTTCAAAGCCACACTGTTACAGACTCAGTGTTCAGTTTCCCAAGGGCCACAATTTAAAAAATCCCATGGAGTAGTTCTTTTGCACACAAAATTGCCATGTGTGGAATCAACTTGGCAGACAACTATAACCAGAATGCTTAAACTCATTATTGATCCAAAAACTCATTTCAGTGAGATATTTTTCACCTGTCAAATTATTATGAAATGACAATGTACAGTGGTGAGAAAGATACAAGCTGTCAACCTCACATACTGACAGCAATAATACAAATAATCATGTTGGAAGTAAATTTATTAATCAATCAATCAAAATGATTATGTGTCTTTAATTCTCACCACTGGGCCAACCGACAGCAACAAGACAGATGGAGAAGAGATGGAAATTGCAGCTTGCTCAGCTCTACAATCAACACTGTTGGCATCAGCAGGCAAGAAATCAATGGACAAATCACACTGGGAAAATCTGCTGTCAGGGATCTCTCCAGAGAACTGAAAAGCAATGATGTCAGTCTAGAGACTACGGTGTCCTTGAGCCAGGCCATGGTCTTCGCAATTACTTGCTATGTTTCAGAGAGCTCGTCAATGATCAAGGATGACAGAAGAATGATTTATGCCTTTGAGTTGTGGTGCTGGAGAAGAGTCTTGAACATACCATGGACAGCCAAGAAAACAGATTTGTCTTGAAGAGGGTGAAACCAAGTTCTCTTTGGAGGCTAGGATATTGAAGCTTCACCTCACACACTTTGCACACATGCCCAGGAGGGCCCAGTCCTTGGAAGGGGTGGAGGGACAGCACAGGAGAGGAAGACCCCGGATAAGATGGACTGATATATT